ACTATATAAATATATTTGGCCCTTATTAGCCTTTATATTTTCTTTTTTTTTAAGTTTTTACTTAAAAAGAACTTAAGATTAAGATTATTTAAGTAATCTCTACACCCAATGTGAGGCTCGAACTCACGACCCTGAGATCAAGAGTTGCATGCTCTTCTGACTGAGCCAGTCAGATGCCCGTTTTATTCTTTTTAAACAGATATGCCTAGAATCCACCCCAGTACATGCTTCCTAGGTTCTCTCTGACACACGATCTTACCCTTTGTTTGATGTATAAGCCAGTGTTCTGCCCCAGGTTCAGACAAAAGGGGGTGCACTGTGTGTAGAGAATTTTATTATTTTTTAAAATATGGAACACTTCACAAATTTGAGTGTCATCCTTGCTCAAGGGCCATGTTAATTTTCTCTGTATCTTTCCAATTTTAGTATACATGCTCCCGAAGCAAGCACTGCGTGTAGAGAATTTTAAAGCAATAATAAAACAACTAAATGTCTTCTGCTTTTTATTATCACAATGTGCTGGCAATTGTAAAAATGTCGGTAATAAATTCCTCCATTCTGCTGGGGGTGCTCCAACAGCAGCCTCTTTTTCTTGAAATGCCACTGTTAGGTTATTTCCTCTAGGAACTGAACAGGCATTTCTCTTCATGGGTCATGAGGAGTTTAATTTTCTTTATGGGCTTGGAGATAACGAGAGGAAATGGGAGTTCTTCTTCAGGATAATAGGCAGGCCCTTGTGATATAACTGACCCAAGAGAAGTTTCTGAAAGACTTTTCTGTGAGAAAAGGTAGCTTTCTCGACAAGAGGACAGATAGTGAGGTTCAGAGGAACTTGTGGTTTGGGCTGTGTCTTGCACTGACCAAACGTCCTAATCTCAGAGTTCCATTCTTTTCCAACAGTGCTCAAACTTTAGAATAAGAGACTTTGACAAGGTTGTGCTTTTAAGCAGGAATTGAAACTCTACAACCTGTACAATTAGATTTTGGGGACTGATATTCAGCTGTATCAGTCCTGTAGCTGCACAAGATAAGAAATCCTTTTGAGAGCACCATAGAAGGTTTCTGGTTCTTCATCTCTACCTTATTTTGAGAATTCATGGCCTTAAGTTTATTTTTCCCCTTTCATAAGATCTGTAATGCAGTAAGAAATAGCCATCCACTTCACAGTCTTTTGTAATCCCTACTGTTGTCATCAAGAGTTGTGTGACCACCCAAAGTTTTATCCCCTACCTGCATTCCACCCCATGCCACCATCAGTGATAATCTGATAATCTTGTTGCCATTGCATTCCACAGACTATCAAGGGCGGATGTCTGTCATTCATGAGGTTGTCAGATGTGTTTAACCTGGCCCAGGATTCCATCTTGTTTCAAGGGGCCATTCTTGTTTTGAAAACAGTATTTAACTCAGATGGTTCAAAAGATTTTAATGAAGAAATTATATACAGAGGTGTGAGCACGGTTAAGAGACAACAAGGGATGCTGAAATATCCAGAGACTAGCAGCAGGGGAAACCATTATCAGTCCTAGATGTGAGGGGTCAAGGAGAGAAAAAAATAGTACTGTTGCTCAGAGAGGGCTGGAGGATCACATGAGACTACCTCAAAAGCTGTAGGCAGAGAGGGATATGGCGCCTGCGGGATAACATGGCTCAGAGCTGAGTGAGGAGCAAAAAGGAAACTTCTAAATCTGCTTTCTTCTCAGCCTCAGCGTACTGATGCTTCTTATTGGTGGAACCCAACTGGAGGCAAGTTTATAAGGGAGCCCAGGTGGTGTAGTCTGCAGGAATTAGCTCCAAGTCACAATTCAGAGCAAAGAATGCATTGAATGCTCTGAGGATATGTGGGAAGGTGGAGAGTGGTGAACAATCAGCAAAAAGATGTTTCCATTTCTAACTCTTTCTTTTCAGTAAAACAGAAAGAGGACCTAATTGAGATGTGAAGGTGAGGTAACAGACCATTAAATATAAAATAAACATGGGGTGCCTGGTTGGCTCAGTCCGTTAAGCGTCTGCCTTCGGCTCAGGTCATTATCTCGGAGTCCTGGGATCGAGCCCCACGTCAGGCTCCCTGCTCAGCAGGGAGTCTGCTTCTCCCTCTCTGCCTGCCATTCCCCCTGCTTATACTCTCTCTGTCAAATAAATAAATAAAATCTTAAAAATATATGTATATAAAATAAACATAGTCATATATATATATAAAATCCTAGTTAATCTTATTTTTATATGATTTTTGGTCTGTCCAAAGTACTGCAAAAAATAATGTTGCTATAAAATAATGTTGCTATAACAATGTCTCATCTTATTTTTGTGAAAAAGTTTTCTTAGGGCTTACATATATTAAAACAGGAATAGAGTTGATATTGAATCATGGTTAATATTAGCAACAAACAATATTCACTCATAAATACATGAACTAATTGAAAAAGTGCCCATCCATCTGGAGAGATGCATTTCCAATAGAATTTTACTTATGTTTACTACTTTATCAAATTTTGTTATTATTTTTTTTTACCAATTGTCTAACAAAATTGTAATGACAACTTGATCCTGAAAAAATATTTAAAAGAGTTTTAAGGGGCGCCTGGGTGGCTCAGTTAAGAGTCTGTCTTAGGCTCAGGTCCATGATCCCAGGGTCTTGGGAATCTCTGCTCAGCGGGGAGTCTGCTTCTCCCTCTCCTTCTGCCTGCAGCTCTGCCTGCTTGTGTTCTCTCTCTTTCAACTAAATAAATAAAATCTTTAAAAGAAAGAGTTTTAAAATTTTAAATATTTTACATTTTAAAATATTTTATTTAAAAGTTTAAATCTTTAAAAAATATTTCATAAGAGTTTTAAAACACGAGTTTTAGAGTCACAGAACTGAAATGTATTTTAAAATTCAAAATGTGTACATGTTGAGAACTATGACTGGTGATGAAAAAATGACTTTAAAGAATAAACATACTTTAGGATAAAACTCTGTAGGGTAAGTGAAATGCTAATAATTTCAAAAAAAGGAACCATGGCGGGGGGGAAAAGGAAAGAAAAAGGAGCCATCGAAAATTTCCAGCTCTTCACAAAGAATGTGTGTATTTAAAAAACGTTTGATGATAGTCATCACATCACTATAGTATTTAAATTCCTTTTTATACACTTAAAAGAGAGAGATAATAATTTCAAAATGTGAATATTTATAATACACTGGAAATTTAATGCTTTAAAGTCAAGATAAAAATTTTAGATGTCAACACCAAAATGTGTCAACACCAAAATACATGGTTTTACAAAATATTTTTAGGTAATATCTGGGCAAAAGTTTGAACACAAGAGGAGGTAGAGGTAGCTGCATAGTTTTAGAGACTCAATCTCTGAAATATTGTGTGTCCTGCTCAGCCTCTGTAATCTTTGTCTCTTTTCACAGACCCTCAAAGTTCAGAGGGTCTGTGGCAATATAAAGGTTAATTTAGAACCTAAAGGGGAGTCCAGGTATCCTTGAATATTAGTGTCTAGGGTTACTGTTACTTAACTCTACTAGGCACTTAAAAATCTGATGTTTACTGTTTTGAAAACCTATTTGGAATATGATTTACATGGGAAACGTCTTTGAAATTCCAAAGAAGATATTTAAAAATGAACGATGGAAACACATCTATACACAGGGAACTAGAGTTAAAAGTACAATTTCTGCCAAATGAAAAGCACATAGCAACATTTTGTTCCATTTGCTATAGATGCCAAAAGAGTTGGCATTTTCAATGAGATATGTTTCATGCTTAAGCAGTAAGTCATTTATCATAGATGTTCTAAAATGCAATCTCGATTTCTCTTACCGAATTGCTGCCTTTGTGTGTATGTGAGATAGAGTGAGAGGGAGAGACAGACTTTATACCGTTAAAACTATAAAATCTGTACTTTTAGGAGCGTTCACTAAATGGAGCACCAGTAAGTAATGGGCCTTGCTTTACATTATCCATAATCAAAACTTCAATCATGTGACATAGAAGAGGGATCTTAGGGTATTTTTATGCTCAGAACAACTAGTGCTAAATACTAACGAGCATTTTGCCAGGAGCTGTGCTAAGTACTTTTCATAAAATATCCGATTTATTCCTGCGGGCAACTCTGTGTGGTATTATTCCCACTGTTTTACACGAAGGAGATGGAAGCTTAGAAATTTCAATTTACTACAACTCTAGCAGAAGTTACCCATCACTGAACAGTTCGTTGCCTTCACTCCTGAGAAAAATGTCTTAGGAATCACATTTATTAGCACATCAAATAAATTCTTTTGCGAAACAAGGAACATCTAACAGCACTTGACTCTGACATTTCCCAAACCAGGTTAGCTTGGGTCAGTGGTTCTGAGGTCAACAGCTTTGTTAAATAAAACACACACCCCTCTCGCTCCGAGTCCGAGTCTGTAGGTCTGGGATAGGGTAGAGAAATCAGCGTTTCTAGCAAGTTCCCGGTGCTGCTATTGGTGCTGTTGTTCCGGGGGCCACACTGTGAGAATCTCTGGTTTACGGGTTTTTTGTTTTTTACAGATTTTATTTACTTGAGAAAGAGCATGAGAGGGGGAGGGTCAAGGGAGAAGCCGACTCCCTGCTGAGCAGAAAAGCCCCACGCGGGACTCTCCTGGTACTCCAGGATCATGACCTGAGCCGGAGGCAGTCGCTTAACCGGCTGAGGCACCCAGGCGCCCCTGGTTTCCGGATTTTAATCTTAAATCCAACGGGAAAGTGTTGGTCCGGGCAGAGCGATGGTTTAACTGCTAACGTGTTTTAGGTGCCCGGACTCCGCTTTCCCCTGCTGCTCCGACCCTAAGGCCCGGGCGCGTGCAGTGATGCCGCGTCAGCCGTCACCTCCGCCCTGGGGTGCGTCCCCCAGCCTCGCCGCCCGCCCTCGCCGCTCCATTGCTCTCCCCGCCAGCCCAGCCTGGGCCCGGCCCCGCCTCCGGCGGCCCATTGGCTCGCAGGTCCCACCGGGCGCCTCCGCCCACACGCCCATTGCGCAGAGCTGGCCAGGCTGAGGCGCTGCTGCCCGAGCGCGGGATCCGAGACGTGGCTCCGGGGCGGAAGAACCATGTTGGACTTCGCGATCTTCGCCGTTACCTTCCTGCTGACGTTGGTGGCAGCGGTGCTCTACCTCTACCCGGTAACCGCCGTCTCGGCCTCTGGGGTTCTGGCCGCTGCCCCAGCCTCTGTGTTTCCCGCATCCACGTCGCTCTGCAAGCAGTGGGCCGCAGGGGGTGGGCCGGAGGGGAGGGTTCCCGCTCTCGCTCCAGCTCACGCTGCGCGCGGGGGCAGCTCCCGAGCATGTGACCCTAAGCGGGCGCGCGCGCGCCCGCGCGGGCAGCGCTGGGAAGCGAACGGCGCGGGCTGCTCCACGACCCCTCAGGCGCCGCTAGCTGAAAGGCCGGTGGCAGCCTGGGTTCTTAGTGCCCTGCTCCCGGAATTGCCACGCCTCTGTTACAGCCTGCGCGAGATGTACTTTTGGGTGTTTTTTTGGCAATAACTGTGCCAAACACAAATTATATTTTCCAGTGTGCCTGGGAGGAAACTTGAGGATGCTCCTCTCCTTTGTCCTTTCCCGAGGATTCTCCCAGCATTTTTTTTTGCGGCTCCTGCCTTCCCATCCATCTTTCCATCTGTTTATGACTGAAATCCAAAGTCCTTAAGGTCCAGACCGGTCTTGCTCTTCGCAGGGCCTCAGAAGCAAATGGAGCCGTGGAATGAGCTTTGCCGTGGGTTAGTGCGTGAGCTTGACGTAGCAGCTGGGCTTCAGCTCTGAATCTCGTTCTAGCCTCCTTTTCTCTGCTTGCCTTTGTCAGCCTCAGAGGGTGATTCTGAGAAAGAAAGGAGCTAGTAGGTGAGCGGTCATCTCTTCACCTGTCTACAAAACAGGGGGTGTTACAAGGGGGTGTTTTTGTGGAAAAAGTTGTAAAGTAACTGAACACGCCAAAACATCACTGATAATGACCTAACACCTTCTTAAATGTTCTTTTCAGAGCTGGTAAATAGATCAGATTGGAATATTGCAACTACACAATCCGGAACATCCAATATCTTTTTTTTCCCTGAGAAACAAGAAGTTTAATGGCTCCAGATCTTGAATTTTTTATAATCTTCAAGTGAGACTGTCCTTTGATTAGTTAATAGAAAGCAACACTGTTTATTTCAACCAAATACGTGTGCCAAGTATGGCTCCATGTACTGGGAATACAGCAGTGACAGCCAGGCAGAAAATTCCTGACTCATGGAATGTATATTCTGGTGAAATAGATAATCTAAACAAGAAACACAAATGGTATTTTAGTATTAAGCATTATGGAGCAAAATAAAGTTGGTAACAGGTAGGGTTGTTACTTTAAAGTAGGACGGTCAGTTTTTTTAAGGAACTCCATACTGTTTTCCAGAGTGGCCACGCTACCTTGCATTCCCACCAACAGTGCCAGAGGGTTCCTTTTTCTCCACATCCTTGCCAACACTTCTTTCTTGTGTAGAACTACCCTATGATCCAGTAATTGCACTACTGGGGATTTACCCCCAAAATGCAAAAACACTAGTTAAGAGGTGTACATGCATCTCTATTCTATAGCATCATTATTTATTATAGCCAATTTAGGGAAGCAGCACAGGTGTCTGTCAATAGATGAATACATTAAAGAGGATGTATATGCACAGGAATATTATTCAGCCATAAAAAAGAATGCAGTCTTGCCATTTGCAATGGCATGGATGGAGCTAGAGGGTATAATGCTAAGTGAAATAAGTCAGAGAAAGACATACCATGTGATTTCACTCATGTGGAGTTTAAGAAACAAAGCAAAAAAAAGAGAAAAAAAGAGGAAGGCAAACTAAGAAACAGACTCTTAACTATAGAGAACAAACTGATAGTTACCAGAAGGGAGGTGGGGGGGGATGGGTGAGATAGGTGATGGGGATTAAGGAGTGCACTTGTTTTGATGAGCACCAAGTGTTGTATAGAAGTGTTGAATCACTATATGGTATACCTGAAACTAATATTACACTGTTAATTATACTGGAGTTAAAAGAAAAAGTAGGATGGTCAAGAGATAAGGAGAAATTTGAGTGGAGACCTGAAGGGGATGAGGGAACAAGCCATTCAGGTATCTGAGAAAGCATTCCAGACAAAGGGAATAGCCAGTGCACATCTTCAGGGGGAACCATACTAGTGTGTTTCAGGAAAACAAGAAGACTAGTGTGGCTGGAGTGGAGTGAGGAAGAGACTAGTCAGTTAAAATCAATGATGGGGAGGAAGGGCAGATTTTTGTGGCAGGCCAGTTTATGGACTTGGCTTTTATTCTGAGGTAAGCCACTGGAGGCTTTCAACGGAAGAGTGACATTTTAAATGTAAGGGAATTAAAATTTAGTTTTTTACTAGTTAAATTTTTAAAGAATCATTTTGACTGCTACGTTAAGAAGAGACTTAGGGGCCTGGGGCAAGGGTAGAAGTGGGCAGAGTAGTTTGGCTGTTATAATAATTTTGGTGAGATATGGAGCTGGCTTGGACCAAGGTGGGGGTAGCAGAGTGGTAACAGTTAGAGGGAAGAGAGGAGCGATGAGGGGTATGTTTCATTTGGAGCATAGACCGTTCATCCACAGTAATGGGAAAGAGGGTGGAATATATGGGCACACAGGCAGGCGGATGGCAGTGTGGTGTGGAATTATCTCCTGATTTCTTTCATTTTTTCAATGGAATAGAAGCAAAATTATCAGTTAATGGTGAGGATAGGGGATTTAAAGAGAGAGAGGGAGCAAAATAGCCATCTAGAAGATTATGGAGTGGACTAGGGAAGTGTATGACTTCCAGGCAGCTCTCTTGAGGTTCATGAAATTAAAATAAGACTCTTCATCATGGTTGTGTTTTTTCTTCAGCTCTGTGGGTTCAGGGGCAGTTGATCAAATGTTGGATTTAATTAGAATTGGTATTTTGCTATGATACCAGGATACAGGGCGAAGTAATGTTTCTAATGACAGACCATGGAATCTGAGCTGGGTAAAGTGGAAAATGAATATATGAGTGGGTGATTTAAAAGTGCTTTTGGGGTTAAAAATAGTTTTTGGAGTGAAGATACTAAAAATAGAAGGAAAGATAGGAGGTGCTTGAAGATTTGGTTGCTTGATGTTAAAACTCTGGAGATGTTGAAGTTTTTGGTCATGTCAACCCTGCACCCATCCTTTCTTCTTCTTCTTTTTTTTCCCCTGAATGTACTTTTTCTTAAACTAAGATTGTAGAATTACAAAATTCTGTCAACCTTGGAACCTTTAGTAGGATGCCCTCAAATGGACTGATTTTAGTCCTTAGGGAGACAGTGTGTGTTGCTGCCTATTTATTTATTTATTTATTTTTAAGATTTTATTTATTTGTTAGAGAGAATGAGAGAGAGAGAGCATGAGGGGGGGAGGGTCAGAGGGAGAAGCAGACTCCCCGCTGAGCAGGGAGCCCGATGCGGGACTCGATCCTGGGACTCCAGGATCATGACCTGAGCCGAAGGCAGTCGCTCAACCAACTGAGCCACCCAGGCACCCGCTGCCTATTTAAATACAGTTCAGTTGGAGCCCCAAGAGTGTCAATGTACTGCCTTGCTTTCCAGATGCCTCCTTCCTGAGCCACCGGGAGAGGTGGGCACCTGAGCAGGGACCTTCAGGTGACTTAATTTGGTTCGCCATTGCCTACTCATTTGAAGAACTGGGTTTTCATTCTTGAAGAAACTCACGGAAGGGCATATTTCTCACAGGTTCACATACCAATTTGTACAAAGATGTCCTTGGTGCAGCTTATGCCAAGTTATTATGGAGATTGTTCCTGAGTATTGCATGACGGCTACGAAGTTGGAACAGGCAGGCCATGAGCGTGAAAACTTTAATTTATCTACCTCATTTATTTTTTGTTTCTGTAGCCATAGTGTCTATTTTCCTATTTTCTGACCACTGAAGTTTTCTGATGTCCTGTCTTAAACCTGAGTTGATGTGTGATGGGAGCAGCTGGATGTTTAAGATATTTTCGTGATTCTTTTTTTTTTTTTTTAAACTCCCCCCTTTTTGTATATGTAGTGATGGAATGTGTTCTAATGGTTTAACGAGGAAGGAGAAAGAAGGACCTTAATTTCTGAATGGAGAAGTCTCTCTCTTTGTGGAAAAGTAGATCAAGACTGTTATCAAAAGTTTGTCTGTGTTATTGCATCTGACTTTAAGATCCAAAAAAAAAAAATTTTTTTTTTTTTGCCACGTTGTGCCTTTCCTCCTGGAATTGTGAGCGAACACTAGTACCTGTTTACACTGTGAAGTGGACATTGTTACAGAGAACACACCCGAGGCTTTCTCACTGTTAAGCAAATAATGCCCTTGTGAATGTAAGCTCTATGGAGAAACCCCTGTAGTTTTACCTGCTGACGCTGTCTGTCTTGTTGAAGAATAAATTTTGGATGTTTTTTTCCTCTCCACCTCCCAAAAAAATACAATGTATGACCATAGGAATGTTGCTGAGGTAGGGTCGAGGCTTGAGTGGGGGAGAGATGGATCAAGGAAAGAGGATAAACTTGTGTAGGAATAGGAGTGCGGGATGAGGGAAGACCTGGGGATGGTAGTCCTGGCCTTTGTGTGGTGTCTAATATAAATAAGGAGAAAGGTCATAACAACATTCTGGGTAGTCTCAAGGCAGATGGTAGGGTGAGGCTATGAATTGGGGCGATTGAAGTTTTGCGGGGTCTTGTCCGGGTGCATGCCAATTTTGGGATCCCTCTCATCATTTTGGGTCTCTGGGAGATGTGGTTGTAGTAAAGGGCAGGAGAGCATTTTACCTGACCTTCTGGGGTTCACTCTTCATTTTTGCTGATGAAGTGTAGAGGTTGATCTAGGAGCCATTTTATCCAGAGTATATACAGATTTCTAAGGCTCCCTCTTCCGGTTTGCTGATGGAGTTGTAGAAGCCAGTATTAGGCTAGCAGGGAAGGATTGTACTTAGTATTTCCACATTGTTAGAGTTTATTCACTCCTGCCTATCAGTTTTTTTCCAAATATTTCAACATTTCTGTCATAACACTACTTTGTGAAGCTGTCCAAATATTCAAAGACATCAGTTGTGTTTTCTTTCCCAGGAACATATCCATTCTGGAGCTTTCCATCATCCTTTCCCAGTTGGTACTGGTTACAATCTCCTTCAGTTTAGCTCTTGTCCTTTTCCTATCATTGTGGGTATTCTCTTTACCTGTTGTATACCCTACTTCCTATTTCACTACTGTATATGCTGCAGCACATCAATTTCCAGAAGCTTCCTAAGGACATGTGCATGGAAACTACATCTTATGAGACCTAGCTTGTTTGAAAATCTTTCTGTTCAAGCTTTACACTTCAATACTAGTTTGGGTTGGTATAAAATTCTAGGTTGGAAATAATTTTCCCTTAGAATTATAGGGACTGCCACCCCCCCATCCTGTTTTTCCTGAGTCTGGAATCTCGAAGTCTCCTTCTAGAAGGTTGGTAATCACAGGAATGGGGAAAGACACCTAAGGTTTCTCAGGGATCTGTGCACCAACTTTTCAAGAATTGTTAGAGTCTATGTCTTGCCTTGTGTCTTATCCTGTCTTTTGGTCTTTTGGTTACTGAGAACAAATCTGATTGCTTTTTTGTAGGAGTTCTCCTTTCTCCTCCGCAGACCCCCAGAGGAGGCCTCTCAACTATGTCAGTTAATCACTTCTCCAACAGCTTAACACTTCCAAAAAAAGTGTTGAATTGTTCCTCTCCCATTCTCTTTATCCTTGTTTTCTCCTTTTTTATTTCTTCACTTTCATTTAGTGGGATTTCAGGAGGAAGAGATAGTTGATGAATGTTATCAGTCTTTCATGTTTGAAGAGAAATCAAGAAGCTTGTTTTGTTTTTAAGATTTTATTTATTTATTTGACAGAGAGAGACACAGCGAAAGAGGGAACACAGGCAGGGGGAGTGGGGGAGGGAGAAGCAGGCTTCCCGCAGAGCAGGGAGCCCGATGCAGGGCTCGATCCCAGGACCCTGGGACCCCAAGAAGCTTGTTATGTCATTAATAATTTTAGCCCGGGGGAAAAAGTAGGATTTTTTTTTTTTTTCTACCCTGACTTTATCTTTTTCTAATTATGGAGTTCCTTCCATCCTTTTCCCTACTATTTATAATATTAAACTTGACAAGTTTCTGTCATTGATGAGACTGTAGGACAGAATACAGTGTAGATTTAATTATCAGTTAAATACAAGTTATACATACTGTTATCTAGGTAGCACTCTTGTAGCATTTTGCAGAAACAATAAAACTCTTCAGTTAGTACCATTCAATCTAGTATTTCTCTTTTGGCATACATACCCCAAAGGAGGAAAAAAGTAAAATTGTATAAAGATTTTTATAGTACTACTTATATTAATGAAAAAACAAAAGAAAGAAAAGAAATAGCCCATAATGATGTAATGTATGGTGATTAACATAACAATAAAAAATTAAAAAAAAATAGCCCAGATGTTTATAGCAGTATAGTAGGAAAATGATTAAGCAATTTCAGCTACATGATAATGCATAGTTTAGCCTTTAAATGTTCAAGTATGTTGAATCAGCAGCACCTGGGTGTAGCAGTCGGTTAAGTGTATGACTCTTGGTTTTGGCTCAGGTCATGATCTCAGGGTTGTGAGATTGAGCCCCATATCAGGCTGCATGCTCAGTGTGGAGTCTGCTTGAGATTCTTTCTCTCCTTCCCTCTCCTCCTCTGTGTGCATACATGCATGTGCCCTCTGTCTCTCTCAAAATAAATATATCTTTAAAAAAAAATATGTCGGGGCACCTGGGTGGCTCAGTCGGTTAAGTGGCTACCTTCGGCTCGGGTCATGATCCCAGGGTCCTGGGATCGAGCCCCACGTAGGGCTCCTTGCTCAGTGGGGAGCCTGCTTCTCCCTCTCTCTCTCTCTTTCTCTCTGCCTCTCGCTCTCTCTGTATCAAATAAATAAATAAAATCTTTAAAAAAATAAAAATTAAAAAAAATATGTTGAATCACTATATTGTACATGTGAAACTAATATAACACTGTATGTTAACTGTACTGGAATTAAAACTTAAAAAAAGAAACATTTTCCTCTCATTAAGATATAAAAAAATAAAATGTTCAAATAAGGAAATACTTATTCATTTACTTCTATAATGTTAATTAGGTAAAAAAGGGCAGAATGACAGTAGGTAAACTCTGATTAGTAGTAGTCAAAATTACTGACAAAATTCAGAATTGATTCTGGAGTAAATATTTTAGGTTATTTTCTCTGTAAATATTTATTTAAAAATTATTTTCGTGCACCTGAGTGGCTCAGTTGGTTAAGCAACCGCCTTTGGCTCAGGTCATGATCCTGGACTCCCAGGATCGAGTCCTGCATCGGGCTCCCTGCTCAGCAGAGAGTCTGCTTCTCCCTCTGACCCTCCCCCCTCTCATGTGCTTTCTCTCTCTCAAATAAATAAATAAAATCTTTAAAAAAAATTAGTTTCTAAAAATCCTATTATAAGAATAATATGATTGTCATAAACTTAAATAAAAAATAACACTGATCCCAACACACAGCAACTGTAAACCCACTACAAAATTGTTAAATATTAAAATTCCCCAAACTTTTCCCCAGTTCATTTTTTTTTTTTAATTTTTATTTATTTGACAGAGAGAGACAGCGAGAGAGGGAACACAAGCAGGGGGAGTGGGAGAGGGAGAAGCAGGCTTCCTGCTGAGCAGGGAGCCCGATGCGGGGCTCAATCCCAGGACTCTGGGATCATGACCTGAGCTGAAGGCAGACGCTTAATGACTGAGCCACCCAGGCTCCCCTCCCCAGTTCATTTCTTAGAGGTTGTTACTTGAACAATTTGCTATGAATTATTTTGTTATTTGTTTGTATGCCACACACCTCACTGACAATAATGACTACATTAAAGCAAAAGATGAATATCATACTGTATTTTGGCAAATTCTTTGACTAGGAAGAGGAGAACTGTTTTAGGAATGAATCTGTTGTAAGCATGACATTGATTTTTTAAAAAATTTATTTTTAAAGATTTTATTTATTTATTTGAGAGAGAGAATGAGAGAGAGCATGAGAGGAGGGAGAGTTAGAGGGAGAAGCAGACTCCCCACTGAGCAGGGAGCCCGATGTGGGACCCGATCCCGGGACTCCAGGATCATGACCTGAGCCGAAGGCAGTTGCTTAACCAACTGAGCCACCCAGGTGCCCCAATTTTTTTTTTTTTAAACTAAGACAGATGGGACCATTTATAGACTCAGAAAAACAATAAAAATGGTGCTTAATTATGTATTAGTTGATGTAGAATGGATGTTAAATTTTTCGGCTTGTTAATTTAATTGACACAGGAAGGGTATTAAGATTATTCTTTTAACATTCTTTTAAATACAACGAACCCAGTTTTTGTATTTTAATACAGAAAGCATTCTTGAGATTCAGCCAAATTGGAAAGCCATCACTTAAGGTCCTGCAGATGTCTTGGCAAAACATATGATTTATGGGATATACGATTATGTATTATATACCAAATTATGTATTATATACTAAATCATTATACTAAACTATTTTTAAATTTCTCCTAAGGCTTCTAGACAAGCTGCAGGAATTCCGGGGATTACTCCAACTGAAGAAAAGTGAGTAGTTATTTTTTTGGGAATTCAGTAGCATTAACTCTTAATTTTTGGTATCAAAACTAAAACCTATTTTTAGATTACAGAGGTTATTTAATTCCATTGTGTCCTCTAAATTTATCTCTGGGCAGACAGCCTGAACTTTGTTATGAACAAAAAGGAGGGCTGTATAAATAAAAAACTTTAATTGCTTTTGGGGTATCTGGCTGGTTCAGTCAGTAGAGCATCCAGCTCTTGATCTCGGAGTCATGAGTTTGAGCCCCACTTTAGGTGTAGAGATTATAGATAAATAAAATAATAAAAGGTTAAAACACACACATAAATCTTAAAAAAGTTTAATTATTTTCACTTTCTCTAGCTGGAGAGTATTAAAAATGGAAAGATAAGATAGAAGGAAAGAAGAAAAGAATGCCATAGCTGATCTGACATTTTAAATTAGCCTATGATGATGTTCATTGCTTTCTCAGAATGAGATGTTGCAAAAATTAGATCGTTTTCCATTGTCTAAGTCAGATGTTCCTTGTGTATCTTTCTTATTTGGCTTGAACTGTTATAAATCCTCAAAATATCAGACAAATCCGTATCTGAATATAACCACAGAAACGAGAAGTTAAATTTAATTAACTGTGGGATTTTGCAGCAATTTGTATTCCATGCACCTCTGCTCTCTTCTGTTGACACAACTAATTCAGAATCAACTATTGTTTTTCTGATTCTTCCAAGTTAAATTTCTTATTTTTCCAAGTTATTTTGTCGAATGTTGCTCTTTTCTCAGGGATGGTAATCTTCCGGATATTGTGAACAGTGGAAGTTTGCACGAGTTCCTGGTTAATTTGCATGAGAGATATGGGCCCGTGGTCTCTTTCTGGTTTGGCAGGCGCCTTGTGGTTAGTTTGGGCACTGTTGACGTACTAAAGCAGCATATCAACCCCAACAAGACATGTAAGTTTAATTATTTTTCTAATTAGCTGATCTTTGTCTTTTAAGAATAAAAGTCTGTTAGGAAGAGCCATACATTGTTCATGGGTAAGAATAGCTAACATTTATTGAATGCTTTATATTATATGCCAGGCATTATGCTAAGGTCTTTATAATTATTACCTCATTTAAGGTACAGTATTGTAAAATGATTATTTTTTCCTTCAATTTATAGGTATATACAATAGAATCCCACTGTAAATTCCAACAGAATTTTTTTGGAAAAAATAGTTCCAGGGTGCTTCTGTAATAGTAAAGGTACTTGAGCAGTCAGGAAACATCTAGAAAAGAATATTAATGAGGGGAATACTTGTACCATCAGGTAGAGCAATGTGCTATAAATCTAGATTAATTTAAAGACTCCTGTACTGTGATAAGGCTAGACAGATTGATGGAATAGAGTAGATAATCCAGTAGACAAACCAAGTATACATGATAAAGAGAGCATTTTATGATAAAGGGGAGAAGTAATAGATGGCTTTGGAAAACTGGTTAGCTATTTGGAAAAAATAAATCTGCATCCCTGCCTTACTCTTTATATCAAAATAAATTCCAAATGATTAAAATTTGAAGTCATAAAAGTATTAGAAGAAAACATGGTTAAGTATTAAATTGGGGGTGGGTGTTGATAAACCTTTTCTTACCATAGCTTGAGATCTAGGGGCCATCAAGCACAAGACAGGTAAAGCTGTCTACATAAAAATGAGAAATTTCGGTACAATAAAAAAACACCTTGAAAAGGGATGAAAAAGAGAGAGGTGGGAAAATGTTGGCCACATATTACTACGCATGATGTGTAGTGGTTGATTACTGTATTTCTATAACATAAAGGTACCATGACAAAGTTTATAAGAGAAATGGGGAAATTATTTACTACCCATATATATAAAGTAAATAAAAACTAGTGAGAAAATAAAAATAAAATGCAGTTGTAGAAAAATGGGCAAAAACAAGTTAATTAAGAAAGAAGAAATAAAAATGCCCAGTAAGCAAATGAAGATTTCAACCTCATTAGTAATTAGTGGGATGCAAATAAAAATGAGAGTTTTGCCTATCTGACTGGAAGAGATGGAAAATATTGGCAAAACTCGTTGTTGATGAGGGAATGGAGAAACATGGAATGTAAGTATTTTACAAACTTGGGAGAGAAGGTTGACAGGATCTTTGACTTAGCAGTGATAACATAAGGAAGTTATAAATTGATAATCATGTAAATGAGAAAAGACGTATTAGTATTATTTACAATAAAAATTTGAAGCAAACTTAAATGTTTTTCAGTGGCTGAGTAAAAGGAATATATTCAGGCTTTAATATGATGACATAGATTTATTTTATCAAATATGCCTACTATATGCAAACACTGTTGCAAGCCATTTACACATATTAACTCATTTAATCCTTAGGACAACCTTATGAGATAGATATTAGTGAAAACTGAGATACAAAGAGGGTAAGTCTTTGGCCCAAGGTTGGACAACTAATTAGTGATGGAGCTAGGACTTGAAGGTAGGCAGTCTGGCCTAAGTTTGTGCTCTTAATCACTGTTTTCCACAACATGGAAGGATGGCTCTGTCAGGAAATACAAAGATGAGTAAAACCAGACATGGTCTCTGCTTCTGTGGAGTTTATAGTGTAATTTGGGGAGTAAGGGAAGCATGTAAACATTATTTAAATGATCACACTAATAAACTGGGTAAAGTGCGCTGAGAGAAGGGATTGTATTCTTTGCAAAATTTGACATACATTTTGTTTGTCTCTGTTAAGTAATATTGATGGCTATAAAAAACAATCTTGAAAATGTTTAACGGTATCTCTGTAGTGAAATTTAGATGAATTTTATTTTCTTTGTATTTTACTGTGTTTTTTTTTTTTAAGATTTTGTTTATTTATTTGACAGAGAGATAGAGAGCGAGCACAAGCAGACAGAGTGGCAGGCAGGGGGAGAGGGAGAAGCAGGCTCTCTGCTGAGCAGGGAGCCTGATGCAGGGCTCCATCCCAGGACCCTGGGATCATGACCCGAGCCAAAGGCAGACCCTTAACGCCTGAGCCACCCAGGCACCCCAGTGTTGTTTTAATTGTTAATGTTAATTGTTAAATTGTTAATTTAATGACAATGTATTTTTTGTATGAAAACAATATAGTCATTAAAGAAACACTTAAAAAATGGAAGAAGAAAGAAGAAATTTCTGAACTCGGCTAAATAATTTAACTGTAATACTTGACCATTATACACAAACAACAATTTTGCTTTAAAATCGGTGGAATGAGCTTTTTATAAAGTCAAAGATATTGTTGTCATGTAGGTAGAAAGTTTATGTAAGTATTAATGATTTATAGTGGAATAACCAGTCAGGATATTGTATTCTTGCCAATTTTTATTGCCTCTTGAATTGTTCATATATAGGGAAGATAGTGAGGGGAGTTGGGAAGAAAGTTGCCATGTTCTCAGCTGCAACCCCCTACCTCCCTGATCTGTTTTTCTGCTAGAGTTTTTATTGTTGTTGTTTTGTTTGTTTTCTGAGTGATTACTTTGACTCAGAAATGTTTAATTTGTCTGTTTCAGCGGACCCTTTTGAAACCATGCTTAAGTCATTATTAAGGTATCAATCTAGTGGTGCAAATGTGAGTGAAAACCACACAAGGAAGAAATTATATGAAAGTGGTGTGACTAATTCTCTGCAGAGTAATTTTGCTCTCCTGCTGAAGGTAAGGTGATAAGTTTGGCCCAGAATTCTATAATACAGATAATAGTATATTTTTGACTATTAGTGTGTCTTGTCTTCGGTACTTTTTTTTTACTTGTCTTTCTTTTCTTTTTTTTTTTTTTTTAGATTTATTTATTTTAGAGGGGGGAGCATGCATGGCAAGGGGGAGGGGTGGAGGGAGAGAATCTCAAGGAGACTCCTTGCAGAGCATGGATTCCCACTGCCAGGCTTGATGACCTGAGCCTAAATCAAGAGTCAGATGCTCAGCTGACTGAGCCACCCAGGCACCCCTCTTACTTGTCTTTCCAAGCTGATTTTTATTCTCCTGAAGTTCTGAAACAAAACAAACAACAACAGAAATCTTAACACCTATACTCCCTGTGTAAGTTGGAATGATGGGATTACTGGGCGTTTGCATAGACAAACTGAGTCATACTGGGAGAGGGACCTGACATTTTTAAGAAGTTCCACAAATCATATACAAAGTTTGAGAACAGTACTAATCCATACTATTTTCCTTTTGACCCTAAAGATCCTTGGCTTAGCCCTGTGTGCTACCTGACAGTTCTCTGTGTCCCAATAGGGCTGTTCCAAACCTTCACCCTTATTTTAGTATTGCCAGTCCTAACCAACCCCTTTCCTTGTTACAGGTGGCCTTGGTTCCTGCTTTGCTGAGACCAGAGTCCCTTACCTGTAAACTTCCCCACCAACAAACTCTATCCCTCTCAATCTTTTGTTCTTACTTCTTATTTTAAATCTTAAAGAATCCTTTCTTCTGTCCAAAACTAACCCATCCATTTGTGCCCTTTAAAAATAATGGAATTTATAAAATTAATACATGGTTGCTGTAGAAAACACGGAAAATCTAACTTTAAAGAAATCACCCATAATTTCACTGTAGATGTATATATGGATGAAATCATACTGTATGTACAATTTTATATGGTTTTTCACTTTAAAACATATCATAGGGGCACCTGGGTGACTCATTTGGTTAAGCAGCCGACTCTTGATTTCTGCTCAGGTCATGATCTCAGGGTCCTGGGATCGAGCCCTGCATTGGGCTCCACACTCAGTGGGGAGTCTGCTTGAGGATTCTCCCCCTCCCTCTCCCTCTGCCCCTTCCCCTGCTCGTGCTCTCTCTCTCTTTCTTTCTCTAAAAATAAATCTTTTAAAAAATATATCAGAAACATTTTATCATGTCATTAAAACTTTTCCAAAAATAACTAAAATTATGCTTACTTTTTTTCTGATAGTCATTTTATAAAATATGGAAAATTTAAGGGAAGTCCTAAGGAAAAAAATAAACATTTTTAATGCTGTCTATTACTCAGTGATAACCATGTTTAACATTTTATTTATTTATTTATTTATTTATTTATTCATTTTTGAGATTTATTTATTTGACAGAGAGAGACACGGAGAGAGAGGGAACACAAGCAGGGGGAGCCGCAGAGGGAGAAGCAGACTCCATGCTGAGCAGGGAGCCCGATGCAGGGCTGGATCCCAGGACCCTGGGACCATGACCTGAGCCGAAGACAGACACTTAACGACTGAGCCACCCAGGCACCCCCATGTTTAACATTTTAAAATCCTTCCTATCATTTTAGTCTTTTATGTACACAGAATTTTAGTCAGCATCATACTATATGGATAGTTATAGACTCTGCACTTTTTTTTTTTTAGATTTTATTTTTAAGTAATCTCTACACCCAACATGGGGCTTAAACTTAAAACCCTGAGATCAAGAGTTACATGCTCCACCATCTGAGCCACCCAGGCGCCCCTTTTTAATGCTATTTTAAAGAACGTTTGTGATTTAGCTTGCCTGCTTTTCCAGTCTCCGTTCCCATTCTCGTTTGTGCTTATACTGTAGCCACCCTGGTTTTCTTTTCTATACCTTGTTCTTTCCCATCTCAAGGCCTCTGTATATGCTGTTCCCATTACTTGGATTGCCAGTTCTAACCACCCACACACCTAGTAAACGCATGTTCATCTTTCAGCTCTTAGTTTGAATATCACTTCCCCAGGGAAGCTGTCTCTGATCATCCCACTGTCCCTAGGTAGGTCCCCTTTTAGTTGCTGTCATAATAGTCTGTACTTACCCATCACAACACTTTTCACTTATTAATTACATTTTGTGTAATTCTTTGAATGTCTCTGCCCTAAATTGTATGCTCCATAAAGGGAGGGTCTATTTTAATTATGTGTGTATACTTGGCTCTTGGTGTAGAATAGACCCTTGGTAAATACGAGTCTAGTTCTTTTCTCTCAAGAAACATTTTTCTCATCTTGCCTGGGTAACTCCTCCTCTAGTCCCCAGTTTAGTTACGTACCCTTCTCTATGCACCTTCTCTAAACTACAGTAACAACCTGAATATACATAACATGACAAAATTAAATTGACTTTTTCTCTCTCTCCCTTCTTCGATTGTGTTTTCCATCTACTTTTTCCTAATATATGTGCCTCACGCAAAGTTATTTATTTTGTTGTATGTTTAATGAAGTTCATTGGAAGTAGCATTACTTTATAGTATGAAGATCACGCTTGGGCACGAAGCTTTGAATCTTGCTTCTGCCATTTAGTATCTGCATGATTGTGTGTTACTTAGCCTTTGTGAGCTTTCATTTCCTCATCTCAGTAACATCTACATTACAAATTTGCTGTGGGGATTATATGAGACAATGATGTAAAATACCTAACAACAGGTCTTAGGACACAGTAGCTACTCAAGAAATACCTGTCCTTTTTTTTTTTTTTGCTTGAGAAGTAGATTTTCCAACTATTTGTTTGCTGTTCATCCTCCTCCCCAATTCTGTTCTCTTAACATTTCTCCTTATGTTTTTCCTGCTTCTCTGAAACACTTCCTTTTTAATGTTTCCAACTTTCATAATGCATTCCCTCTTTTATGTGAGTTGTTTTTGTTTGTTTGTTTGTTTGTTTTAGTAAGCTCTGTGCCCAACATGGGGCTTGAACTCCTGACCCCAAGATCGGGTTTTTATAGTTGATGGACCTATATCTGTCTCATTTGGAGGGTTGTATAGAAGTCTTTTCTGTTCTGTAGGGTTTAAATCCACATTCACTCCCAAGAGCACAAACACACCCCACCTATTCTTGCATTACATAAAGTAAATCACTTTTTTTTTTTTAAAGATTTTATTTATTTATTTGAGAGAGAGAGAGAATGAGAGATAGAAAGCACGAGAGGGAAGAGGGTCAGAGGGAGAAGCAGACTCCCTGCTGAGCAGGAAGCCCGTTGCGGGACTCGATCCCGGGACTCCAGGATCATGACCTGAGCCGAAGGCAGTCGCTTAACCAACTGAGCCACCCAGGCGCCCAAAGTAAATCACTTTTAAAATCATGGAAAATTTAAAGGAATAACTGTAGAGTAGTGTAATGACCATCCATGTCCTTATCACCAAATTTTAATAGTTATCAAATTAGACTCAATCTTACTTTATCTCTGCCCCTACTTACCTCCCTTATCTTCTCTCTGGATTATTTTAAAGCAAATTCCACACATATCAGTGAGGACATGCTTTTTAAATGGCCTAGCAGTATAACTTTTTGGAGTTCTAGAATACCTGATAGTTGTTAAGAGAATGTATTATTGACTCTTAGCCACTTTTTAAAAGTAACATTTGATAAATGCTTAATGCCATTTTTTCCTATCAGAGTTTTAATTGAAATTCACACTTCCTATTCAAGACTTGAGACTGGCTTGCTGAGTTTACTGGAAGCATTAATTAATACATTGGCTCCTCTCTGGACAGTTTTCCTCCTAAAAACAGACCAAACAAGGCCTTTAACCATGGATGGATATTGATTAGTCTCTCTCCTTCCAGTTCCTATTTCTTCAGGGCCCTCAGGAGACTTGTATACCAAATCCCTACCCTCTCATTGTTCTCATTCCTGTTTGGTGTCTCAAGGTTCTGTGTTGGCTGTGTTCACATCATGGTCTCTAAGCCTGTCAGGTTGCCTGCTTGGGTTGTCATGGCTCTTCTGTCGTCCCTCATTGTCCTCCCTGGAAACAGTTATGTTGCCTTTCTCTAAGCATTCACCAGCCAGAATCTTCCTTTCTGTTCTGTTTAAACACCTAACATTTGTCAGTAAACAACATCTTTTTGTATTTAATTGTGTATCTCCAAGGAGTTTTGCCCATTTCTCTTTTGCTTTCATTGATGGAAATACCTTTTTCTTTTTAGTAAAATTTACTGTTAAGAGCCTTAATTATTCTTTCTTCTCTGCATCAAACTAAGTAAGTCTAACTTTTTAATATTTTATCATAGGCTCTATTTCCGAAGCTTTCACTCTTTTGTGTTGTTGCTCTGTATTCCAGATTTTTCTCCTCCTGCCCAATTAAAGGCAAATCAAGATAGAAAATTATTTCCCAATTTTCACGTTTCTTGCCATCATATTTTTAAGTTTTGGTTCATAGATTGGGTCCAAATGTAAGAAATGTGTTTCAGGTTTATATTGTCAACTCCATAGTACAAGCCAGTTACTTAGCTTAGTTATTAGTCAGAAATACCAGCTAAATGTTGAATCAGGAAGAACATGATTGAATAGTGCTGCTCTCAGAGCACCTTCCTCCTCCCTACCGAGAGTTTTCTTTGAGAGAATAGTGTTGTTACCAGAGTTACCACCCCAAAATAAGTTGTACCCTTCATATTGACATAATAAACTTTTTGCCTTTTTTTGGTTTTTTGTTCAGATCTGAGTTCTGTGTTCTGATTCTTCTCTAATCCTCTCAAAACACCCTCTGACTTCTCGCTCCTTCCTGTCCTGGCCGTCTCTGCTCCAGCACTGTGTGTAAACCTCCACTTTAACTCTGTGAGTGTAAGTTCTCTCTTCTCTATACTGAAACCCCATATTTTCCTGTTACTTCTGGGAAAAATTCTGATTTAACAAGTATTTCTGGATTTTAGCATTTAGAACTATTGTCCAGAATCCTCTTAATTGACAGCTTAGTAATAGTTAATAGTGAAAATTACTGAGTT